CGTTTAAACACCCCTCTAGGTACGCATAGGGCACAAAAGCACAACGGCGATGATTTTGAAGTGAATGTGCGGATCCTAGCGCAGGAATCAAAAACATCAACGCGCAAAACTCTTGAGGCGTTTTGGATAAATTTCAAAAATCCAAAGATGAACCGGAAGGACGAATGCCTCACTATCACACGTGACCTGGCGCCCTATTTCAAAATGATATTTTGACCCCGGGGCGTGTCTTGCTCGCGACTCCACGTGAACTACGTGTGGGCCAGTCCCGCACGTAACATCACGGTGAGTGGCCTTTCTGTTCAATATGGCGTCTATTTGAAAGTTTGATCTTCATTAATACTTGAACCTTCTTTTCCACCGAATAATAAAAAGTATTCGGGCACAAAAGCACAACGGCGATGATTTTGAAGTGAATGTGCGGATCCTAGCGCAGGAATCAAAAACATCAACGCGCAAAACTCTTGAGGCGTTTTGGATAAATTTCAAAAATCCAAAGATGAACCGGAAGGACGAATGCCTCACTATCACACGTGACCTGGCGCCCTATTTCAAAATGATATTTTGACCCCGGGGCGTGTCTTGCTCGCGACTCCACGTGAACTACGTGTGGGCCAGTCCCGCACGTAACATCACGGTGAGTGGCCTTTCTGTTCAATATGGCGTCTATTTGAAAGTTTGATCTTCATTAATACTTGAACCTTCTTTTCCACCGAATAATAAAAAGTATTCTAACATAAAGTACGTCCAGGCTCTGAGGAAGGCGAAGTCGCCGAAACGTCAGCCATCGATCAATAACATCAAGAACAACGACAACGACAACGACAACGAAGATCTGTACCAACCTCGCGTCAGCTTAAGAAGATCAGTTTATAAGATCTCATAAATAAATATATCAACTATTTATGCCGAGGTTCATAGAAAGTCGGTCTTTCGAGATACTTGATGAAGTCGAATGCATGGCGCATTCCTCAGCGATTGATCAACGCCGAGAGCTTTATCCTTTTTTATTTTTCATTGGTTATATAATTTCGACTTCTATGACGAAGAATGTTCTAATAGTTATTTCGAAATTCTTCTCAGCACGATGGTCAAATTGTTGATTACGAATGATTTGACTCTCGAAGTCGCATCAATCATCTTTTATGGAGAATAATTGTAATTTGAAACCAGCTTAGACTAAAACGCAAGTGGTAAGTTTTATACGTGATAGTTTACACTCACTCTTGTTACAGTGCTTAGTCCGATGATATAGGAGATAATACAGATAATGCCGACGAATATCTCACGTCCATAGCGTTGACCGCGAATCATCTGAGGAAATTCATCAATGATGGCGGTGAAGAAGCCCTCCATGGTGCAAAACTAAACAAAGCATTTCCTATCATCGCTCTCAAGATGCAAAATGCGTTGATGTTACAGAGAAATTCAACATAAGGTGAAATCTCTTTCGGTATTGAAATACAGTGAGACTTTCAGTACTTAGCTTAGTGTGCCTCCTTTATTCATGTTGTGCTATATTCCTAGTCTCACTTCGGTATTTTCTACTCACACAACATTTTGTGGATCTTTTTGTGGGCCCTTTCCGCCCCAATTCCTTATAGAATTTTAATAATAATCATTTTGCGATCAGTTTAATGATGAAGTATCTGTGAAGGATTGATGGACGATGGACGCTTTACCTATTTAATGTTTCGAGAAATTCAAGTGTTGCAATGTTCTCGATTGCTCGGTCGACTAATCGCTGAAATAGCCGTGGCCACAATATGCTTTTTTTATAGAAATCCTTCCCGCAAAGTAACAAACTTTTCTGTTGAGTCACAAATGCCACAGTGACTACCGATGCTGAAAACCTGCAAATGCCCACCACCGAAGGAAACTTTTCTTGGTCAGCATTCGGCGTACGAATGAGAAGAGGTTGTAGATCCGAGAGCACGCAACCCATTCAAAAAATCACTTCTCTTACGGAAGACGCGTGTAAGACGAAATGAATGGAAGATGTGTTGGAGCTTGCATGTCATGTAGGGACGGGCTATCTAAGTAATGGTACTCTGATTATGGCGTTAACAACGTACCAAAGAAAAAAAATACGACAAATAAAAGCATAGACGCACCCCAGAATAGCATCCACTTGCTCGTCGTCCTCATATTCCCGTCATCACAAATATGAAAGAAAATTTCAATCTGCGGCGCTATACCGTTAGTCGACACCATTAATCTATACTACTACGGAGCAGTGAAAACTCAGCACGATGTTATTTTCATAAAGAAAAAGCAATTGGCAACAGATCTGTTCCAGTCAGCTACTCCGGCAGTGGAAGCAATGCAGTTAGTATGGGACGCAATCATTCCTTTGCTGTGAGCTAAGAAAATAAGCTGACCGCTTTCAGTTAGGAAATGGCAAGTCGACATAACAAGAGAACATTTTCCTAAAAAACTCAACGAGTGGGGACAACGTAGAATATTATTGATTTAGTAATTCTTCGTATTTTTGTTGAGCAAACGCGAGGTGTTATTGTTCTTTATTCTTATTCTTCTTTTCTTCTGTTCTTTTCTTTATTATTATTGTTCTTTATTATTGATTTATTTGAGGTTTTGTACTTTCTTAGATGCAACGATTTCTACACAACGCTATATCACTATTGTCTCTTTGGTATGAAGAAATTGCTTAACCTATATCACGTTCTGTCAGCATTTTTCTTTCACGTGATTTCTCATCAATGCCATGAGACCGCAAACGCCTCTTTAAGTATAGTTTCCCTTATGGATTCGCTGAACAGATTTTAATGACATCGATCGAAACATTCTTACATACAGCTTATAAATCCTTTAGGTTCTCCCACTCCACCTGGATCAAACAAGAGGATCAACATGCTCTTGTGAAATCACTGTTCTTCAATCCTTGTTGCTCCATCTCGACCCTCTATTCCTTTAAATGGCTGTGCTGAGTTATTGAACCAGTTCCAAGCAATGTAACCTTCATGCTCTTTACTATGATATGCTGGAAAAGTCATTTCTCACTCTTTATGACTTCTTCAATATTTTATCAATTGCACTGTTGTCTTCTTGATACACAAAAATACTCATTCACCCATGTTTGAGATATACTATGAGGCAAATCACAGCATGGAGTATAGAGATTATCTCCCATTACTTCAATCCATGATACAAGTGGAAAAGCCAACAAAAATATTGTTAATGCGGGGTCTAAAAGTTAAATGAAAACTGACAGAATTATGAAAAAAAGCATCTTATAGAACGAAAGCAGTCGGGGTTTAGGCGCAGTTATTAATGATTCCTTCAGTGAGGTTAGGACACAGACCTTCGTGATATTTATACTAGAATGAATGAAGATGTAGGCATAATTGAAGGAATTCCAATTTTTCTGAAGTGCAACAAGATTATGTGGAAGAAAACAGGGAGAATGTTTCAAATCAGCGTCATAGACGCTGAAGTAATCAAACTAGAAACATGAGCAGCAATATGGTTACCATTGAAGAATCGGAAGACCAAAACACTCAGGCAGTTATAACTGCTATATTTATTTATATGATCTTATAAACTGATCTTCTTAAGCTGACGCGAGGTAGGTGCAGGTCTTCGTTGTCGTTGTCGTTGTTTTTGATGTTGTTGGTCGATGGATGACGTTTCGGCGACTTCGCCTTCCTCAGAGCTTGGACGTATTTTATATTAGAATATTTTTATTACTCGGTGGAAAAGAAAGGTTGAAGTATTAATGAAGATCATACTTTCAAATAGACGCCATATTGAACACAAAGGCCACTCACCATGATGCTACGTTTGGGACTGGCCCACACGTAGTTCACGTGGAGTCGCAAGCAAGGTACACCCCGGGGTCAAAATATCATTTTGAAATAGGGCGCCAGGTCACGCGTGGTAGTGAAGCATTCGTCTTTCCGGTTCATCTTTGGATTTTTGAAATTTATCCAAAACGCTTCAAGAGTGTTGCGCGTTGATGTTTTCGATTCCTGTGCTAGGATCCAAGTAGTCACTTCAAAATCATCGCCATTGCGTTTTTGTGCCCTATGCATACCTAGAGGAGTGTTTAGACGGATTTTAGCTTTTCCATCTCTTTTCCAGCTCCATCTCTCAGTAAGTGGCTATGTAACAAAATGGTATCGCAAGCCAAATAGTAAAAACATTCTGGTTTACTACCTCTCCCCTCATCCTTCACATATGAAAAAAGCACTTATCAAAAACATGTACCGTACGGTTAAAAATGTGTGTACAGGAGAAGAGGAAAAGAAGGAATCGCAAAACCTGGCACGAAGAATTGCCATTTCCAGTGGTTACGAAGTGGAAGCCTCTCGGGTTAGACAAAAACGTAGGGTAATTCCCCAAAATAATGTTTTGGACGTAAGCTACTCTTCATATCAAATAAAGTAAGTTGCGCCATTAAAAGAGATGCTTGAGAAAAAGTGGTCTTGAAAATTTTGTAACGATTATTGACATCCCACCCAATACCCTACGCCACCAGTTAGTTCGAAACCGTCTCTATGATCGTTTGTGCAGCTCAGAAAACTGTATGATCTGTCCTAACGGGAGAGACGGGATTGCATGTGTTCAGGTATAATATACTTGATCTTATGTAATGCATGCGGCGAGGAATATATCGGAGAAACGGGTAGACCACTTTGTGTCTGCATAAAAGAACATCTAGATGGAAAAGTTAAATCCGTTTAAACACCCCTCTCGGTATGGATAGGGCACAAAAGCACAACGGCGATGATTTTGAAGTAAATGTGCGGATCCTAGCGCAGGAAACAAAAACATCAACGCGCAACACTCTTGAAGCGTTTTGGATAAATTTCAAAAATCCAAAGATGATCCGGAAGGACGAATGCCTCACTACCACGCGTGACCTGGCGCCCTATTTCAAAATGATATTTTGACCCTGGAGTGTGCCTTGCTCGCGACTCCACGCGAACTACGTGTGGGCCAGTCCCACACGTAACAGCACGGTGAATGGCCTTTTTGTTCAATATGGCATCTATTTGAAAGTTTGATCTTCATTAATACTTTAACCTCTTTTTCACCAAATAATAAAAATATTCTAATATAAAATACGTCCAGGCTCTGAGAAAGGCGAAGTCACCGAAACGTCGGCAATCGACTAACAACATCAAAAGCAAGGACAACGACAACGAAGGCCTGTACCAACCTCGCGTCAGCTTAAGAAGAACAGTTTATAAGATCATATCAATAAATATATAAAAATAAGCATTAAAAGTCCAAATAAAAGGAATCATGTAGAAACGGTCCCGCTACAATACCTGTGAATCGATCCCTAGAAAGAGCACCATTGAGAAGAATAAGAGTGACCATACATTTGTATATGGCAATTGCAAAATTCCTGATGGATAGGCTAAGAACAGTAGTCCAGGTCCGGCTTGAGCAACCTAAACGAATGACGTCGCTTGAATACTGAACACTTGTGACACAAAACAAATTTTATTAAACAAGCCAATCGAGCAAGAAAGAAACAAGCAAGAAAAAAGTTACGGGTTTTTGCGCAGCTGAAATAGAATAAATTCAATAACCATAACATAAGAAGCCTTACTACATCGCCGACAATCTGTGAATCCGTAACAGAGAAACTGTTTTTCATTTATGTGCACAAAATAAGAGTATCGTCATTTCCATTCAGAGCTATGGAGAGACGTTACCGTTGAGTCGGTAATCCTTCAGACCTGCATTTGACAGAAATTCCCTAGAAATTTGTGGTTGACCGTTGGCGAACGGTGAATGCACATGCAACAGCACCATTCGACATAGACATCGTTACAAATGCAGGATTCCCTCTTTCTTACATCAAGAGTAAAATATAGTGCTCTTATAAACAGAAGCAAACGCGCTGAAAGTATTTTCATCCTGCTAACGTATATCATACAGATCTACCTCAGAAAGGGATTTCCTGCCAGTAAGTCGCAAGGCAACTTTGTGTACCCTTAGGTGGTAGGAAGCAATCGTAGACCAAAAGTGACCTTATGCATGACCGAGAAGCAGATCGATCCATGGGATGGATTCCATGTTTCGGCTATACCGATTCGTCGCACACCTTCTGTGTTTAGGAGGAGATATTCCGACATGCGTGCGGGAAGATGTTCTCGATTATGCGGATTGTATTCTACAAGTGAATTCGGCTCGAAGCCTGCTACTAGGTAACTGGAAAATATAAGGAAGACGGCGAGAAGTTGCCTCCAATAAATAAACCCGTTCTCTACTCTGATAGAGACAAGCAAGCTACCTGTAAGTAAATCCTGTCCCCGCGTTCAGAGGTCAGCAAACTGTACGTGGGTATCACACACTAAACAGTGAAATATAACTTCAATGATGCTGAGATATTTGCAAAACTCCGGCTCGCAGGACGCGGACGGACGGACGCGTGAACGCGTTATTCCCCGGAATGTACAATAGCGCGTTCGTTCCCCACCGCAGACACCTGTGGTCCGGAGTTTTGCAAATATCTCAGCATCATTGAAGTTATATTTCGCAATATACTCTGCCGTTAAAAAGAGTAGGCAGTAAATAATAAGTTAAAACAGTGAAATATGTTGTCCTCATTCGACTGATCCCTAAAGAGATCCCGATAAGCTAAGTTAGGTAGGATGAGTACGATAAGAGGCTAAACCACAGGCCCAATCAGATGAGAAAGCTCTTCAGTTCAAAAAATAAAGTCCCAAATCCACCATAAACTGGGACTTATTCACTTCACCAAGCTGCATTGGCAAAATACCTTTATTGGCAACAGCGGCGACGAATGCGATCGCCTCATTCAGCATCTTCACGTTAGCACAATGAAAGCTGAGCGTGCGAAAATCACAAATGGAGTCCGTCCGCACAAACACTCGAGCTGATACGCTAGACACGAGCCACAGGCAACCGGCAGCTCACGTCCGAACTGGGAAAACAATGCAAACAAGCGATAAAAAGTTACCTTAAAAAGGGATAAACAGCAGAGGAGAGGGTGGGAAGAGCATTCGCAAAGCCAACTGAAGCTCCGTCAGTTACAAAACCAAGGTGGTTGATCTACAACGTCCAGATGGAACAGCTGCAGCTTCCATAAAGGCAATAGAGAAAATTATTCATGATTAGTGCTCAGAACCCCTCAATACCCACATACTTTTCCCTTCGGATGAAATAAAGGAGGAAGGATATGTCGTACCACCGGTTCTCCTTTCCGAAATCCGGCAGCCTACTTCAGTCGTGAAGAAGCGGGCGACATCTGGTCCGAAAAGGACAAGACTGAAACATCTGATGAACTGCTCATTAACACACTCGCTCAGCTTTCCAAACGACGCTTGCTAGCATGCAGTTCAATTTATTCATTTATCTAAAAAATTCAAGTTTTCATTCATTGAAAAATGACTAAGACTGTGTTATAATCACAATCTTAACCCTTTTATTTACTGCCTTTTTCTTTTGCTGATGGCAAAAAGATCGATAGAACTAGCTGAGAGACAGGCAAAACGAGGGACCCGGATGGTGTGGTAGTGAAGTGCGCTGCTCTCCGGTAAGGACAACAGCGCGTGTTCGTTCCCCACTGCATACACCTGCGGTCCGGAGTTTTGCAAATATCTCAGCATTATAGACTGTGTTATTGTTCAATATGGGTGATCTCACTTGATGCCGGCAACTACTGCATAATTTGTATGGTGCCCTTGTTCCGTAGACTCTTCACTCGAGAGTCATTCTAAAAGGATTGACAGAACATTGAAAAGAGGACAGCAATGTGAGCAAGCAGGATTTTGAAAAATATTCATTACGGTGAATCACATCCACAGGGTAACAAGACTCAATGAGGTACCGCGAGAGTGCAAGAGACCGCTCTGTCTCACTTTACAACAATTAGAGAACACTGTTGAGTCAGCTGAGATGGCAACAAGCATGGAAAGCCTCGACAATCAGGGATTTCCTAGTAAGCATGTAGACATTCTTCGTGAGCTATATAGAAATTTCACAGCCAAAATATTATTTGCCGTCACTCTCTGGAAAGTTATGTGAACATTGGAATGTGACAACATGGGAGTGAAAATCGATGGCCAGCAATTACACCACCTTCGCTTTCCTAATTACATCGTTCTTACAAGATCAAACACTGGTTTAGCGGAACGAGTGCTTGCCGACTTTGATAAAGCCATTGGAAAGATTGGTCTTCATCTAAATCTCGCAAAAACGATGTTTATGAGGAACGCATTGGTTTCATATATCCCATTCATTCTGAACGCACGAATATCTCCGAATGATCAAGCTACGTCCACTTAGGTTGAGAATCAACATAATACACGACTTAGTTCAAGCGTTAAGCTGGAGAAATCGACCGGTTTGTGGAGTTTTCAAGAGTATTGAGGATGTAGTAAAAAGCGCAAAAAAAACCGATCCCGTGTACACCTTTTCGACTGTATGATTCTTCCTCCCTAACGTATACGTCAGAAACCAGGTTGCTACTTAAGAAGGATAAAAGGTTACTCAATATTATTGATCGAGCAGTCAAAAGGACGATCCTAGTCTACTATGTGATTCAAGTAAGGAAAGGGATCCGAAACTCCGGTCTACAAATGAATGACGGCGTTCTATATGCCAAAATGTCGAAGATAGAGTGGACAGAACACGCAGTGCGTATGAACGACAATGTGGACAGGAACCGTAAGTGACTGGATTCCTTGGAATGTCAAACGCGCAGCAGGAAGATCACCAATCCGATGTTAGAGTTTTTCACGAAAACCCTAGAAAGACGACAACGAAACAACGACAAAATATTCAACGAGTCCCTAATGCGAACAAAATTAACCAAACTACTTTGATAGAGGAGAAGAGGAATGGATGGTTTACTGGCGCCCTCTCGAATCATTCGACGGTCAACGTGACGGTAGCTTATACAGATGATACTTCTACTTACCACCCTAGTTCTCAAATGGTATATTGAGAAAGGAGCCATAGAATTGAAGAGTGGATGCATAACCTGCTAATCGTTAACTCCTCCAATCCGCTCGCACTCTTCTGGTCATTTTTAGTTCGAATCACTATGATAGGAGGTCTACTGGCACGTGTTTATGAAATCAGTCAACATCTCCTGGATAATGCTTAATGTTCGAAGCATAAAACAGCATGAGTTAAGCAAAATGGTGTAGCTGCTAGAGATCTACCTTTATTTTCTTGTTATTTCACTATACCTTGTAGAGCGGCTTTCAATAATTTGTGTAACATTCCACCTTTCCCTTAAACTCATCAGCGGTTAATGTTGATGTCGTCGTAAGAAAGAGGATAAACGTTCTCGGCGTTGACCAATTGCTGACGGATACGCCATTTATTCGATTTCATTAAGCATCGTTAGAGGTGACTCAAGGCATATCTGGCCCATACAATAAAGGAATCGCGGTGGTCCACCGATGTATCAAGTCTATGCTGCTATCCTCCCAGACAGGTCTGCCACCAATTTTCTGACCTCGGAGGGACGAAGGGCTTAGTGATTCCGAGGCGCGGGATCGATCCGATATTTATTGCAGGGCGCCTCTAACCTAAGCTACACCCTACTACACTAAACTCGCGTCCTTGTCGTCGAAGTGCAGTGAAATTGGCTATAAATTTGCACCACAACAAAAAGACTATTTTAACCTATTTTAATATAGTGAAAAGTTACCCGGTGATTTTTGTTCTACATCATCGACTCTCGTTCAACGTCCTACCAGCTCTGATGACAGGATAACTCGAAAACAAAGCGCGAAGGGGACAAATACCTTGTCGATTGCGCGTTGTCTACCGTAGACTCATTGGTTCTCATTTCTACACAAAAACACAGCCTGCTGCTTTTCCTTGGCTATGGACTTTCTATTGTCACGATTAGAAGCATGGGAAAAGCCTGACTAGCACTGATGTGGAATTTTAGAAGCTTGTTAGATATTCGGAAACAATCCTATTGCAATCGAGGGCTGCACAGTTTTTCAAAGCAGACATGGAGCTTATTTATGACATTTCCAAGCTGCTTCTAGTGTGCATCCCATTTACGAGGTTTAGTCGAGTCGACCTCAACGATTTAGTCTCTTTTTATGTAAGGGCTGCAAAGCTCCTGTAAACATGTGAAGACAGAAACGAAGGTAAGGAAGTTATTAACCAACCGTCGCAACAGAGATGAAGTTCTTTAACTAACGGATCCGGAACTTCATATGAACGAAATCTGTGGAAAGAAAAAAAAATTTGTAAAGAACATTTTGTCACCTCAGCTACACTCTTTTCCTGTTGCGTGGCCATGAATCCGATGAAGGAGAATATCACAAAACCAGCAAACACACTCGTTCCGCTATTGACGAAGCAAACGGTCAGAGCTTGCCTTGAAAAGCTCATTTATTTTTTGTCTAAAACATTGACATATCCTTTAACCAGTCAAGATTGGTATCCTAATAATTAGTACACCTAGCCTAGCTAATGCAAAAAGCCAAAAATTTAACTTTTTCTAATAATAAAAATTGGAAATGTTACTACCTACTTTCGAAGTTTTGTCTACCCAAAGAATCGAACTTTAAAGAGACTGCATAGCAAAGAGACCACAGTGCTATTTACGAGCGCTAACGACCAGAGATTACTAATATTTTTTACCACGAGGAATTTTTGAGGATCGGCGAGATTTCCTTACTTGTAAACATTATTGTGAAATTTATTGTAACTTCCCAAAGCGACAAGAGCTCCAAGACCCAAACCGTATGAGAAAAACACTTGTGTGACTGCATCTACCCATACCTAAAAATCATCATGTTGAGAAGAATTATTTGTTTCCTTAACAACCAGATATTATCTATAGAAGTGAATTTATTCTAGTTTCAGACAGAATTCTCTCTCAATCATTCAGCGCCCCATTGTGGTTGGAGAGTAAAAGTAAATAAGGTAGGTAAGAAAATTTGTCAAGGAAATTTTCCAGAGCTTAAAAGCTCATTTGATGCCTACTGGCACTATATAAAACTTGTTTTGATAGGAATCTTCGAAAATCGAAAGAAGAAATCGCATTTAACCTTCACAATCAGAGAGATTCACCTTTGATTCAAGCAGTTTTGCAAAGTTCGGCTTAAGATAGAATTCTAATCCGAGTGCAGCACCTGGTAGAGTCAGACCGCGTACAAGCAAGAAGAACAGCATAATGTAAGGAAACGATGCGGTTAGGTAGACAATCTAAAATGCCTTAAACGATTTCACAATAGGGTAAAACATCATGAAACTATAAAGAACCGTGAAATTGATCTGCTTGCAATACGGTAGCACGGATTACTGCATATGTCAAAGGATTCTACTGTCGTTAAATGTGTAGTATGAACAAAAAAGAAACAAAACGGGCAAAAAAAAAACTAAGAGAATGCTTGAAATGGAAGTGACTACTGTTATACAGAAAAGGATCTCCGAAGGATGCGCCACAAACTAAACTTCACCATATGTTGTAGAGGTGATCGAGTGCGTACTTCGCTCATACAATAACTTTCGTTTTCCAACCGGCATCTCAGACAAGTCTGGTACCAAGTCACCGACTACTGGAGGAATGAAGAGCATGGTGGATCCAGGTTACTTTTTTAAACTCTTTTCTCATTCAAAGGAGCCAGGAATCAGTTATAAATACATGAAATGCAAATATTTGAATGTAATGATATACCTTTCCGGTCCATCTGACTCCTTTGAAAATGCACAAGTAACAAATAATCCAGGCAACCAGCAAATAGAAAGCGAGATCATAACGAAGACCTCCCGGATGTTCGATACCATCCGAGATTCCAAGAACCTTGTAGCTGAAAATGCATAGCACTATCAAAATCAGAAAAAAAAATTGGAATTTATGGAATTATTATTTATTATTTATTTTTTTATTTATTTATTATATTTATTTATATTTATATTTTATTTATAAACGTTCATAAACGGTAGGTGTTTAAGTGAAGCTGTTTCTTATGCGAGTACAAATTTATTTCTTGAGTTTTATCTACTAGGGTTATGAAAGTGCTTGGCTGAATAGATCGCATCTCAATTTGACCTTTCCAGACTCTGAAGAAGGCGAAACCGCGGAAACGTCAGCTGTTGTATCCTAATAAATTCTATAATAACAACCTCGTGTCTGCTTATTGAAGAAAAGCATCGAATTATCAATCAATGCCGAAGTTAATCAATGTCGGTCTTGAGAATTGCTACGTGAAGTACCAGTTAATTAATCAATGCTAAAAGCCGCCGCCACTCTTGGATCGTACCGAATCATAAGCCGCTTAACTTCTATTCGATCCACGGTCGCCGGAGACTGACTGTGGTGAAGACTTGAAAAAGCGCTGGCATGATAATTTAACGATCTCATAGGAAAACGGAACCGGCACATCTATTAAATACTGGTAAACTTCATGAAGCGAAGCAGGACGAGCTTTCTAGGTAGCCATGCTGTCGAAAAGTATTTAATGTTCATTTAAACTTAACACTGAAGAGGGCACATAACAATACAAAAGATTAATACAGAACACTGTCTTTGTAACTTATTCCATAATTAACCAATCTGATCGAGGTTCACGTGCTAAATATAGCATTGAATTTTATCCTTCTTTCCTCAATGGTTTACCGTCCTATCATGGCTACGGAATGTTCGTAGCAGTCAAACTGTTACATCCAGAGAGGGCTCATTCTCTCTCAAGGACACCTCAAGTTGGAAACGAATTTGACATATCCACGCAAAACCCGAGAGAACAGCAAATCAATTCTGCCACCCTGGCAACAATGCAGTAACTAGCTGGCATTTATTAAGCCGTAGCACGGTTTTCGAGTCTCCCACGAAATGGAGATCCTGCTCAACCAGCAAATTCTAAGCAATGTGGATGTTGTAAAATGGCCTACACAATTTTTGTGAATTTTGGAACTAACGATTCAAGTGTTCGCGTAAATAGGCGAATTCCACTAGCTATAGAACCACAGAGTTATCGAAATCATCAAAAAGCAGGAAGAAACTGATAAATATAGAAACAACCAATTTTTCGACTAACTTCCAAAATTCTTTAACTGGCGATTGAACGCTAAGATCTTGAACGGTGCATACGGTGAAGTTCGCCTTCGAACCAACAAAAAACTGCTTTTTATATTCGAGTAGATGATCTGCCGTCAAAACCTGAACAAAAAAAACTCATGAAACCAGTAGCTCGGAGATCGATCCATCCATAAAAATCCTTTCACTTAAGTTTCCAGAAGATTCAGCGACACTCACTTTCTCAGTTTCTCACTTTACTTTAAATAGCAGAAGAAGTGCTTATCGTAGTTTTAGATCAACTTATCATAATTTTAACTTATTATTTACTTCCTACTCTTTCTAACGGCAGAATATATATTGCGAAATATAGCTTTAATGATGCTGAGATATTTGTACAACTCCGGACCGCAGGTGTCTGCAGTGGGGAACGAACGCGCTATTGCCCTTTCCAGGGAGTAACGCGTTCACCACCACACAATGCGGGTCAGCAATCACCCTTATACTGATGGCAAAAGATCAATAGAACTAGCTCAGAGACAGGCGAAACGAAGGACCCGCATCGTGTGGTGGTGAACGCGTTACTCCCCGGAAAGAACAACAGCGCGTTCGTTCTCCAACAGAGACACCTGCGGTTCAGAGTTTTGCAAATATTTCAGCATCATTAAAGTTCAACTTACCATAGTTTTCGAAAAATCCAAAAAATCGCCGTCCAGTTATTGCCTAGCTATCACCACCAAAGCTATTGCTGTCTAGTATAGTTCGCTGAGATTTCGAGACGAGAACAGACTTGTTTACCTTCACATTGAAAAATTCGGCTATCGTTCGGTTACTGTCGCATGGTATTTTTTCATATTCTGATCGGCATTTGGCCGTGTTCCACCTGCAGAATAGTTAAGGTTGACTGACGAAAGGAAAATAAATAATCGATACGGAGAAAAAATAGAGATCCGCTTGTGATTTAATTTGTGATAAGATCACAAGGTCACTATGAGCTACAGGTTATTTTCAGGCAATAATAACAATAACCTCCCAACGGTTTACCGCGTTATCGTGGCTGGGAAGTGTTCCTGGGTGTCGGACTGCGGTGTACAGCAGGCGGTTCGTCCCTCCGGTAGGGTCTCCCAGGCCGAGAAAGAGTCTGGCGTTTCCAACAGGAAGCCTAGCTAAGAGTAAACCAATATTGGGAACCATCACCGTCCTGGTATCAAAGTCCTATGGTGGCAAATCTCTCTCTGATCCACAAGGGCTGCGAATGCCTGTCGTGGTGACGACCTGTGGCGGACTTTGGCCAAGGTGTCCTCGGGTTCCAGGAAACCACAATTGCTTAACCAGCAAATCTCCGAAAAATGTAGATTATGTTGGCCTCCTCCCCCGCCAGTGAGGGCGGGCCATTCAAGTATCAAATATCAAATAATAACAATAACAATCAATAATAATAATGAAAAATTTTTGACAGTCCATTTGGTTTAACCATATCTATTGCATTCAGAAGAAAAAAGCGAGGAATATCAGAAGAATACGATATACAGAACACGATATTTATAGAAACAGATTTTGTATAAATGGCAATAGTTCTTTGATTACTGTGGTAGAAAACCCTAAATTACACAAGGGAAATGAAAAGGAAACGAGAAAATTGGAAAAAATTTGGTGGGTTTAAAGCTGGTGAGCAGATCGGCTCAGTGGCAAAAGATGTAGCTAGTGTTCTGATTTTTATTTGCTTACTGGTCTTTTTTCGTGTTAGGGTACTATGTGACATTCAACTAAATGAACGCTGAGATATGAGCGAAGCTCGGGTCTTCGGGTGGGCTTGGAACCTCGATTCCCCTACCGACAGCTCACGTGCTATGCACCATACCAACCGAGGCCCTTCGTTTCCTTGTCCTTCTCTCAACCACGATTTTACTCTTTAGATGCTGTCAGCAATCACCCGGCCGCGAACGGTAATCTCGAGGGATGAAGTCCACCCAGGTTTATGAGTTTTGCTCATATCTCAGCATTCCTGTGATTTCATTTCACAAAATGCCAGCGGGTTTAGATTAGTCTGAATGTTTCTTATTGCTTAATGAATGACAATCAATGATTAAAGAACATTAAGGAAAAAAACGAAAAGCAAAGAAACAACAAAGCTGTGCTGGAATAAAGAAGAGAAGAAGAAAGTAAAGAAAAAATGAAGGAAATTAGGAGAAAAAAGGAGCCTTGAAATCCTTACTCGTTATCGCAGCTTCTCCACGGCACGTTGACGTCGAGTCTCACCGAATTCCATAAGTAGCAAAAAGCCCAACTGAGGACGACGATGTAGTAGATGTTAAGCCAGAATGCCATCACAGCAGCAGCAATTCCTACGCCTAAAGGTGAAGTTTCGTGGGCAATTTAACCACTTTGCTAAATGTTTAAAGATATAATATGCTTTCGCTGTTTATATCATAGTTAGGCACTTTCTTGTTACTTACTACTTAATAGCTAATCGATTCCTATGTGGTGAACATTCATCAGAAACATCACTGCGTCAGCTGGCAACTTTGACGAAGCCCAACAATTCTAATAAAATCATCGAATGCATTGAATTTTTGAACAACGATAGATTCCTTTGATGTGCACCTGTTATATGTTTGTTACACTACGCCGTCTATATATGTTTTCTGCAGTTCTCACAATTACTGAAACTTTCACAATCATTGTAACAGTCTTTGAAAAAATATTTTCTTAGATAAATATTGTATGTACCTCAGTAAGATCACCCAGGTAATCGTTTAGCGAACTACTTAAGAAAAAAAAGGTAATCCCACATGTCAAAAGGTGATGCAGAAGGGAGGGAGAGCTCCTTTGGGTAAAATTCTTAGAGCTACGAAAGTGTTCGAAATTATATTTCCATCTGAGAGTCCAACCAACTAAAACCAATCACATAACAGATCCCGTATCGGAAGAAGCCTCTTGCAATGTGACTCATGCCCACCATGCCGATAGGTAAGGTCGACGATCGACTAATTTATGTGGCGAAGGATATCCTACTACGGCGATCTACAGGATTCAGAGAAACTTCGCTGTCGACCAAATAGCTAAATACCGGTTAGCTAGAAATGGTGCTTTGATCCGCATGTTTGTCGTTAACACTCTTCTCTCAGACAACGGTTATAATCATTGTTATCCATTAATGAATTTAAAAGACGAAGAGATGGAAAGCACTCTATATGAAGACGAATTCATTTCCTCAATGTATCAAACCTCTTGGGAAAATATATTTTCACGAACCTCACGCCACTGTTTGCAGGCGATGCCTCCCAAATAAAGAAGAAGTGAACGGAAAGAGAACAACGTAGAAAACCAGTGGTCGCTATTGATTTTTAAATTTGCTTCGTTTGATTTTCTTCTCACTTCTTCTTTCGCGACCCGTCATACTATCTATTTTTGCAAACCCAGAACTTCCTACACCTAATTCTTTACCTCGCCTGCATCATCCAGCAATGTGTTCGCACATTCTGCGTGTAGGTTGGACTGCTACTTGAGGATTGCTGTGTAAATCAAGAACGTCGTTGAATCCTAATCGAGTCGACTCTCACTGAAGTCTTGGGAAAGCCGGGTTAGAGCGTTCCACATGGACTGAAGAAAGGAAGCCAGTCCCAGGCAAGTCTAGATCAACTCGCCGACTCCGGAAGGATTAGAGACTTCGTGAGCCCTATGCAAGGTTAAGTGAGCACCGTGCCCGTCATAAACGACATCATTGCCACTGAACTTCCTTTTCCTTTTCTCTTAGCTGAATACCGCATTTTTTTTGGCAGTTTTTCATCAAATCTTCTTTTCGGGTAAATTTTCTTAATGAAAAAAAACATTGTAACTGATGAAATGTTCAATTTCTACTGATGGATTCCAAAAATTTTCCTGCGAATCGTATTTATCGTATCGTTACAGTGAAGAATAAATCAAAATCACTTGAAATAATCTGAAAATCAGGAAGGAAAAAGGAGGAAAAAAGTCAAGGTTGCCACGGAATTCGGATTAAACCTTGCTGGCACAGTCCAACAAATGAACAACCAATTATTTCAGAATTTTTTGGATTCATCAAAAAGTATAAAATTTTGAAAACTTTGAGTGCTGTCTGGTCCTGATAAAAGGAGAAATTTCTCCGCTCAATCGTTCTTAGAACTACCTCACAGTGAGATACGAATTGCTTTACAGGATGGCTATTTGTTAGGTTTTTGCTAGTGTTCTTAACTATCCACTTATTGTGTAAAGAACAAAAGCAAAAAAGAGCGCGGAGATTCTAATGTCAAAAATACCTTAGAAATCAAGTCATTGTCTTTTTCGCTGAGTCACACTGACCTAATCATAGTACTTTCACTGGTTTTTTTAAAATTTTGTCTTCTTTTTCTGACGAACTGAAAGAGGAAAAGAACACAAACCTTTAAATATCGGGCATATCTTGAACATTCCAAGGCCGCCAATTGAAAGCAGTTGACCCCACGACGTTTCGAGAATAAACAATGGCGCACCGCAAAACACTAACGATATCACGTATGGAATAAGAAACGCACCTAAAGCATCATCATTTCCCGAAGATCTACTCCGACGGGAGAGTATGTGGATGCTGTACGAATTTGTTACTGTAGCAATTGTGAAAGCATTTTTCTGTTGTGGAAAAATGAACGTTTACCACTTATTACTCCACGATTCTATTGTTTTCAATTACTAAACCGCTTTTTACACCGTTTAACTTTTATTTTCTGTCTATTCTTTTCTTCATGACGAATTAATATACGAAATACAAACACAAGGATGCTAAGACATAAGCAAGACTCAAATTCTTGGCTGCTCATCGAACTCGCGATTATCTTTTCCTGTGCTCACATACTGTCAACCATACCAACTGAGGGCTTTGCTTTGCCATTCTCTTTAACAGGGTAAAATGACAATTTGTTCTCCTCAGGTCCCCTTCCCCATTCCCTTTGACCGATAATTGCTACAGCACCGTTGGAGTAAAAGAAACTGGGTGAGAAAGAGCCAGAACAAGGACTTCGGTTGGTATGGTGGATATCACGTGAGACCTCGGAAATAGTAGCTTTATCACAAGAAAGAAGTAAATTGTCGAATTACACAAATACCATTAATGTTGTTGTTGTTTGACATACTTGTTCTCTAGACTTCCATTGCCTCATGATTAAGTACCGGTTCTTCTAAGGATTCCAATTGCTTTTCTCTCATTCCAAGAGAGCAATTAATTAATATAAAGCCTATTATTACGAGCTGATCAGAACAGACAATCGGTTGTAAAGCACAAGCTGATCAAGACAATAGAAAACCCTAGTGAACGTTTTGCAGCACAAAATTCAGCGTCGTCTGCCAAAAACGATTCTCTACTCGAATTCATCATTACGACGGCACCTCACAGATAGTCTTCGTGTTCCTTAACATGAATAGACGATGTTGAAAAATACTTCTTCCGACATTTTTTATATTTCACTCATTTCACCTTCCACATTTTGTACATCGCCATGCATTACTGATATACTTTATCAGTATTATTATATTAAAACTCTTTTAAGTTTTCCAGAGCGATATCGATCGATGATTATCGGTAACCAACCAGTGAGTCAGTGAAGGGTCACTGCACCACCAATAAAATACGACGACAGAAAATCCCCCACCTGTTCACACTCAATTAATCGAATTGTTAACATCTAGGAGATCCGTTACAACAAACGGATCGGACCGATTTCGTTGTAGTTCGGCTCTCAATCGGTGGTTACACTCATAACAGCCGGTCGGTCGTCTCTTGCCATCGGCTATCAGGATTAGTGCCTCTCTCACACACATACCACACACACACACACGCAGCTCAACATCCTCTCAGGCGGTAGGACGTAAGGTGTGTTGTTGACATCCCAGTTGGTCGAATATGAGTTGAGATGTGCTGATTTCACTTGCTTCTTGTCAAAATATTTAACGATAACAGATCCGATGTATGTCAAAATGGAAAAGAAATCAAGAAGAAAAATCGTCACTTGTGGAAAATGAACTGCTTGCCAGCAGTAAGAACTAATAGTCGTCGTGCACCTAATATTACTAGAAGAACCTACGGAAAATCAAACCGATTTGGTCATTAAGTTGGTTATGGTATTCTCATCTGATCTTACTTTGATCCTCTAACTTTTAAGAAATATAGAATCCTTTTCATAACAGATCGCTTACGAGTACGGTAACGGATATGATGAGGCGGAGATGATTGAAAGGAAAACACGTACAAAACTTTGTAAAGAAAAGAAGTAACCGGAATATTTTATGTTCTCATTACCTTTTAAAGATGTGGAGCAAGGATATTCTCTGATAAAGAGGTTACATTGGAGATATAGAAGATAAAATCAAATGGGCTTTTTAGTTGGTAATCACAGGCAACTGAACCAAATGATTACACAGCTTTCAATTTATTATGAACGCATTACGCGGTGTTGATCTAGAAGATTAGAATTCCACCAGTCTTATCTAAAACGAGCGAAACAATTATATCAAAACTTCTTTCAGCACAATATACTTTTAGAAGTCAACAGCCGTGACTGAACAGACAATCACTATCGTGACACTATCCTATCTACTGGCGTCCAAATCGAGCTGGCTTGGAATTGACAAGGAATAAGTGACTAACTCACCACCACCGTTTTGATAGCAGAGATACGGAAATCTCCACACATTACCGAGTCCAATAGCATAACCAATACAACTCATAATAAAATCCGCCCATGAGCTCCAATGTTCACGTGGTGGTGTGGAGCGCATCTCCATTATGCCTGATAACGAGTTCAACGAATATCATTCATCAACGAGCGCTATATGGCAGAACTGTCTTCCTTGACTAGTTCGTATCCAATATAAAACGTTAGAAAAGAAACTTTGTCAAAAATACAATAAAAATGGACAACTTGAACGGTTTCTATAGGAAAACTGTATGGAGATTACTAGACTGCTTAGAAAGTTAGTAGAACATAGAGAAAGGAAATACTAGAATAAAGTCATTCAATGCAAATAAGAATTCTATACTTATTACTGCTTTCCATAGGAAATAATAGCTAACAACTATGGAGGAAACGATGAGCACCAGAAAGCCACCCACATAAGAGAGGATTTGTGCAATAATGGTGGTAAAGCAAAAAATGCTTTCCTTTTGATTTCGTCTGTTCATTTCCAGTCTGTTTTCGAAAAAAAAGACATAATGAGTGAGGAAATACTGTACAAATAAAAGTGATGGACCATCGGTCTGAGAATACATTTATAATGGTCGATTTCTCAAAGCGTAAAAATGACGATGCAAAGAAATTTTGAACCATGTTATTGATTAAGCTTCTTTCTTATAGTTCTCGGTACCTTTCTTTTGTTCTTCATGTCAAGAACAGAAACAAAAACATCTAAGTAGAAGTCGTTTGCTGCTACTACGTCGGAGTCGAGGATGATCTAACGAATTTAGCGTATCAAAAGAAAGAGATATATGGATATACGGCGGTACGGACATAAAATTGCGGACTACACATCAATCGTGTCGTCATCGTCGGCGATGGCGGTGGTGGTGGACGATGAGAAAGGTGAAGAAGGAGTTCAGAGGCATCGACGAAAGCAACATTGAGCGCCTGCTCGATGGCCACGCCCTCGTTGCTCGTCTGCCGTCGACTGCACTTGGCACCAATCTCGCTACCTCGGTCAGGACCGATGAGAAAAAGCAGGTGATGATTGAAAGATGAGAAATACAGCGAAATGAATGTATGACTGTCAGGTTGGTTAACACACTTGTATTCGAAGGAGGTGAACATTCGGAAAATGTTCCTAGAAAACCTTTTTTCAGAAATTTTTTCACCACATCTTTTTTCTTTCATGTACAGTGATATCGTTTGTGGAAACTCAGCAACAATAACTGTTGTAAAAATAAACCAATTAAGACTTTGAATCTAAGAGAATGGCATGTATGGTTACCTAGGCGTAATGGCTTACATGGATTGGCGTCTGCCCAATCGTCATTTTCACTAAACAACGAGATCATCTTCAAGTAAAACATGAGGATGTTGTTGTGATATGTTCTATTGATTGACTTGTGTGTGCATTGTATATATATATATAGTATATATATATATATATATATATATATATATACATGTCTGTGGAGGTGTGCGAGTGTATATGCATGCAAGTAGGCAAGTATGTATTCGGACGCGTGGGTGTATGCATGGTACTATCCACCACACTTAATAGTAATAATAGGACAATCATAACAGCAATAGTGAGAAAATAATAAAAGTAGTAACAACAACAGCTAAGTAAGTGCTTAAAGATCGTATAGGCAGAAGGAGTCATCATTATCCTGTTCATCTTTCTACCCGACAATGTTCTTATGGTAGATGTTGACTGTTGCTGAACGTCGAATTACAATACACATCGACGGCCCGCCTTTCCAGAAGAGTCAATCCGGATGGAGAGACGTGAAAGACGTTACCGTGAGTCGTAGTCAGCGTAGGAGTAAACATGAGCCAGAGCAGATCCTGATGAGGCTGTCTTCTTGCTACGAACAGTACAAATAAAAACTACGCACCAGAAGAGTAATGCTGTTCATGTTTTTGCCGGCAGAGCAAACCCATCAGGTTGTGAGCGACTGGAAAATGTTTTTGGTGCCCATTCGAGAATGTCAATGATTGGATGGATCATGAGTTCAAGGCAACGCAGATCATGCAAATTAGCAAGTTCAGAGAGCCTATGTTTAAAATAGAGATTCCAAGTTTGCGTTGCTGCCTACTAGACATTCCTTAGTAAATCTGAAAGTGACTACGCTTCTTGATTCCAAAATGTCAGTTATTGTTAAAGGTGGCAGATGGCCGACCTTACACGTTATCCCCTACGAAAAAGCGATGGTTTAATCTGTTTTATTGCTCTTGAAAAATCACTTTTCAAGCAGTTTTCTGGCTTTAAGGCTTTTCTATGCTTTAAAAATTGACTTTTTAGACTTAGAAATTGGAAAGAGTAGAAAATAAAAAAGGACGACCAATAGTAACTGTTATTGAAGTAGTCTACGGTAAACTAGACTATTTATTCACTAGAAAAGTTGTAACACCCATTTACACTATCTATTGAGATGAGATTACCTGTTTATTTATTTGTTTGTTTGTTAGTCTTTTCAACGTGCTACTGAGTACGTTATGTTGCTGCGCTGTAGGGCGGAGTTTCATCCCACAGCAAGGCCTCCCAAGCTTAGAAGAAATCCGACGTTTTCATCCGAAAGCCTACCAAAGATTAAACCACTACCAAGAATCACCACTGTTTTGGTATTAAAACTAGCTGAATAGTGGCAAATCACTTTCTGATCTATAAGGACAACCTAGGTCTGTAACGACGTGAGGAAGGCTTTGGCTAAGCTAACCTCCGCTCCAGGTAACCACAAGGCAAAAAAGAGCAAAACTGCAAAGAATGGAAACTATGCTGGGGCCCACAAAGCCAGTGAAAACGCACCATCCAAGTATCCATGTAAGTAATAGAAGTAGCCTATCATGCCACGAATATGCAGGTAGAGCAGATACACCATTCCACATGATCACTATATAATCGCTGGTTCAACTGCACTCAGTGCCAACCGAGTCTCCCATGCATCCAGGCTCGCCAATTGGTATCACGCACGTCTGGGAAAAGATCCCTGTTATCCAGAAAGGTCAGCACTTTTTGTGCTTAAAACCTGGGAAAACTGTTGCACAGCTTTCCAAGAATTCCAGAATGAACGAATTCGACCGGTGGCATTCTATGAAATTTATGAAAAAGGCAAAGTACAGGAAGTCAATTGCGATAAAGACGGAGAACACTGAAATCATTTTGCAATCAAAGAAACACCAGTTTTCACCACCTCAACTTCAGTTTTCTAGCAATCAAAATAATGAAAGCGCTAAAATAGCCATTAAAAAGCTTGGAAGAATTATATAACTTTCGTGGGAAAGAAATTTCTATTAGAGGAGGATTATATTGTTGATTTTATCAGACTGCACCGCCATCAGCGCGTTCAGCCTATTGGTTCCATTATTTTGGGCGTTAATGAAAGATTTGAGCACCTATTCTTCTTTTCTCAATTAGACGTTGTTCAACTCCTTATTTGAATAGTTAGTGGGATTTTGTGAGTGGGCGACATTCCTGGAGTGGAGGGTGAGAGGTGCGAGAGCTCCGATAGTGAGAAATGCCCACTCTGCTAGCGAAATAGCCAACCAAGAAAGAATATTTGATCTTTCATGAGAACTTGTTTGTCAGAGAATCCTACATTAAACTAAACTGTCTACTAAGCAATCGCGAACTTGTTATACAGCATACATTTACTTCCATAGAAAAGCGGCTCTCAAGAAGGCAATACTGCCGAAACGTCAGCTACTGCTGTATTTCGCGATTCCTGAACAGGAAAATGACGCATTCCTATTCCTATGCCGAAGTTAATAGAAAGTCGATCCTGGGAACTGTCTACTAAGCTTTACGACTGCTTTCAATTAGATTTATTTTATCCCTCATTTTTGTTATGTCTATAAAAAATAACGACCGTGCTGGCTTTTGATAATAGTGCGCTCGAAACTGCGAGGGTTAATGGGTGATAGGAAAAGACTTGCTCTGGACAGTGAAAAAATTTATAACTTCTCTAACGCAGTAACGGTATAATCTGTGGTCTCATGATTGGCGATAATTTTTCACTGTGTATTGTTGCGTGCAGGGGAAGGATCTCATTGGGATCAGCTTGATGAAATGACCACCAAAGCAACATACCTTTCTTACAGAAACATCGTGTAGAACTCTACTCATCGGGTGGTTGGTCTTGCTACGGTACGTTTGGCATCAAAACGAATTCGATGGCTTATAGCCCTCACCTATCGGTTGTCGTTCACACGCATTACATGCCTGTTTCACCTGATTTTCGACGCTATTGCGGGCACAACATCATCTCCTATCATAGATCGTTGACGTAGGTTGGAACTTCAGCTTCTCTGTCTTTCTCATTTGCATGATACTTGCATCCATTTTTCAACTGTGCCTTTGATAAGGCAAGGTGACCGTTCATCCTACTAACGAAGCGATCAAGTTTCTAGTAATTACATTGTGGAGGAAAGAAGTTGTGAGTTCTTATTCCTCTTCACTACACTCTCTGTGCTTTCGAAAACTTACAAGCCGCTCGTCTCCTCATGTTCGGCTCCGGAGTCCAGCAGTTGACCAAATTGCTTATCCGGCACAAATACACATAGCCGGAACATTCGGTGACATTTGTACCAGTCAGTGCGGCATTAGATATGAATTAATTCTTCGCTACCATCCTTTTTGTGGGGTTTATTCGGAAACCACTCTTTCCACAAGCTTTGTCGAAGCCAGCCAGCATTCATGCTCTCTGAGTGCATTCCGGATTCCCGAAAAGAAAGCCGACAGGACTACTTCTCCAACCTCCTTAATTTCATGCGAGATCAGAAGAACGTAACTATTGAAGAGATCATAGTAGTTGCAAATGGCTTCTTTCACTGTTTTCTGGAAGCTGCAACTATTTCGTTCAATTTGCGAAATTCAATTATTCAATGCCTTATCTGATAAACGACGGAGTTTCGTTAGTGATTAGGAATGCGCTCCTCAACCCATGCAGTCCATCTCTTATTCTTCTTTCCATGAGATCATCTTTCGTCCCATTTCGGTAATATTTGGCAACTTCGGATGTCAGTGCACTGCTTGCGGCTCATTTGTTTTCACACTGACATATCAGTTGGAGTGTTCCAGGAGACAAACGTCTCTTGGTGGCATCTCAACTCTGAGCTCTCATAGCGGCAACGCGACGATTTTGAATAAGCCGATTGTATTCCACGTCGATGTTATTGCACCTCCCAAGCAGCAACCTAATGATCCGAATGAATGCCAATTTATACATCGCTTAGGCAAAACTTTCCGCTTACTTTGACGTACTTGTGGCTTATGACTTACTATGATGATGGTCTATTTCGTCAAGGTACTCTCCAATGGAGGACTCCCACGTCCAGCATTGAGAAGAGAGTATATAGCTTCTGGAATTGTGACTTGCAATGAATAGCCTTTGCCATTATGATAAACTGAGACAGCCGCTCACCGTTCTCGCACTATCTTAATCCATGGGTCTCAATGCGACTTTCTTCTAGGTTCAACCTTAGCACTAAAATTTCAAGTGATGTCTTTAATAATGCATGGTCCTTCCCCTAGAAGCTCACCAAGTCCGTACTGAACGCTTCGACTTAGCCTTCCCTCTTTTTCGATTTGAGCGAAATGAATTTATTCGACTCGTTTTTCTTGAATTTACCGTTCACAAAGGTCTTTCAACACTTCACGCGTTGTTTTGAAACCTTCTTCATGACTATCATAGAATGCTGGCAGAGTCGATTTTTATTAAAATCTTAGAAATAGCCGAACTAAGGCGTCCCATGTAGATTTAGCAAAGACCATTGGAGAGAGAGTTGAACCAGCACTTTGAATTCCTGTAGATTGGATCACCAACCACTCTATTTCCCCCAATAGATTCCATTTTTCTCGTCGCAAAACATATTAGTATAGGCTAAAAGAGTAGTATCATAGTTTTGGTTCAATGCGCTTATTTAACTCTTCTGAAGAATAATATATCCACGATAACCTCGCCCGGCACTACGAACTGTATAATTTCTCCTATTTATGCACCTGGAATGGAAATATCAATCTTTTTGTCGGCCTCTGAGACTATTTCAAAGACGAACGTTTTGCATTACAGTCGACAAGTAGGAACGCCGCTAAATTCGTGAGAATTTGCAGTTTCGCTAATCAAGGTTTTTGTTTCATGTGGATGCGAGAAACTCTAGGTTATTCTCCCCCCCAACGGTTTACTGCCATTCATTTCCCTAGCAGGGTTTTCCACCCTGAGAAGGAGTCTGGCATTTCCATCAGGGATCCTAGCTAAGAGTAAACTATTACCAGGATCCACTACCCTCCTGGTATCAGAGTCGCGGGGTGGCAAACCTTCCGTATAATCAACAAGGGCTGCGACTGCCTGTGGTTGTGAGGACCTAAGGCAGCCTTTGGCCAGGCTGACCTCGGGACTCCAGGAAACCACAACGGCTTAAGCAGCAAGACTCCGAAATGGAGATTAAGCAGGAGCCCGCACAACCAGTGAGGATGGGCCATTCAACTATCAAGTATCACGTATGTCACTTCAATGATGCTGAGATATTTGCAAAACTTCGGACCGCAGGTGTCTGCGATAAGGAACGAACGCTGTTTTACCCTTTCCGGAGGATAACGCGTTGCCACCACACCATGCGGGTCCTTTGTTTCGCCTGTCTCAGCTAGTTCTATCGATCTCTGCCATCAGCAATCACCCGTCAGCGCGATTGATCTGGGGAGCACAAATCGGCAATGAACCCAGTTAAGCTGAGGCTTTAGTTATAATTACAATCCTAACCGTTTTATTTACTTCCTATTCTTTTTAATGGCACGGTAAAAAAAAATATGTATATTCTTTACCACTTCGCCTTAAGGTAGTGAAAGAATGATTGAGGCGTGGGGTAGATTATAGAACACGCTAGAGGTAAAGGGTTCACGAAAGCAAAACATTGGTAGCATTGAACAGCTAAAACTTTACTTTTCTGAAGTCAATAAAAGTAATTACTATCAGCTGAAGTTCTAAGATTTTGAAATTAAGTTAAAACATAAAGTATAAAAGTTTACATAAGCTGAGATTTGTGTAGTTGAATTCGAAGCAAGGATTTCTTTTCAGACGAAGCAGGCATCATTTTCTCAATAAAAACCACAATTTACACTCTCTGCTTTCTTGATGGTGCACACGATGTTTTTACTGCGCTATTTATTTATCTATCCGAAAAAGCTGAGTGACTGCGTCTAGCGTAGTGGTTAGAGGTGCACTGGGACACACGCGTGGTTGTTGGTTCAATATCGCACCAAAGCTCACCTTCCATCCATCAGCGTCGGCGAATTAGGACTAGACTGTCCTGGATGCACTGGAAAGACTAGAGTGTCCCGTCGCTGACATTCAGTCACACAGAGTAGTTAGTCAAACACCTTCATAACCTTAAGAAAACGACCATTATGGCTTGATTTCAATCCCACTGGAAAGAAAGCAGATTTCCCACATACTCTCTGCTTTCCATGAGCACATTAACCGTTAATCATTGGGAACAAAGTAAGAAATTTACATGGATGGGTAATCCCTTGCTCTTACATTAAAACAGTGGAATATTCTGCTAAGTCAGGTATGATTAAGCCATTTTCTTTTGCAGTTCGCTTTTGCATTCTTGGAACTTATCTAAAATGTTTCGAGAGTTTTACGAGCTCATGTTCTAAACTTTTGTGCAAGGGTGTCCACTCCTACTTCAAAATCTTCCCTGCTTGCTGTATCTTTGAGTCCTATGCTCCTAGTGGATTATTTTGTTTAGCTCTAAGCATGCCGTATACGTGTTTTCTTATAAAGCCACGGAATCATCTACAGATTTTGCCAATGTATTACTTTTCGACCGCAGATGGACCACATATGAGGGACCTCGGGCCAATTATGGGCGAGGTTACGCGGCGCGTCCCCAGATGGTGGATAGGGGTTAATGGCAAACAAAAAGAGACCGTACGTTTCTCTGAGACGCAGGTGGATCCAGGAGATGGACTCCCTGCTTCCACTGCGCCGATTTGGCATATGCTTTCTGTATTTACGAGGCGTATCCATGTACGCGTATGTGGCTGCGTTCAAGTTAATGCAGATTTTTACGAGTCAATTCAGCCAAAAGCTAGCAATCAAGTGACAGGGAAATACGGGAAGCGGTTAGGAGTCGCCTCCAACAAAAAAGCTCCATGCCCACTCTGGAAGAGACTGGCAAGCTAGTCGCGAGTATACCCAGCCCTCACATTCGGATCCCAGAAAGCTATACGTGAGTGTCGAAAAGCTAAACACAGTTAAAAAAGCAGGCATCATACCCCCGACCCCAAAAGAACCCCGGCAGTGTTGGTAAGGACGGGTACGGCGAGGCAGCTAAAACCACAGGGCCATTCTAAGCTGCCCAACGCGCAAAGAAGTGGGATGACGATATGTACGTACAACGCACGTACACTTGCATCCGAGTGCTTGATAGAAGTCTTGATTATGCAAGCGAGAATGATAAGGTACGACGTGGCCGGCCTGGTCGAAACGAGACGCCACCACCCACTCAACGCCGTCTCTGAAACCGGTGACGAACTGTTCCCCGGAACATGCGACGGTAGAGGAGCCGGCGGTCTGGTCAACAAGAGTTTGTCCATGAACATCGATTCATTCGAACAACATACAACTCGAATCGGATGTTTGCGGTTAAAAAGATATGGATCAATACCGGCTTTGACAACCTTCGTCGTTCACGCACCGACATCAAACTTTGGCGAAGAAGAAGTTTAAGCGTTCTATATAGTTCTACAGAAAAGACCATGCATCTACGAGGTCATCATTGGAAATTTTAACGCCAAGATTTGACCCAGAAGAACGTCTGAAGAACGTCACATAGGAACCCACGGATTAGAATGGAACGAACAGGGTGAGCGGCTCTCTGAGTTTATCACGGCAACCAAGACCATCCATGGTAACTCGCATTTCTAAAAGCCCCACCCCCAACGCTGGACGTGGGAGACTCCCAGTGGAGAGTGCCATAACGAAATAGACCACATCGTAGTAAACCGAAGGTTTTGCCTAACCGATGTAGCTGTTGTCACAAAATTCTACACGCGATCGGACCACCACTGCTTTCTGCAAGATTCCAGTTTTCGCAAAAGAGAGAAAAGCCACTAAATTCAAAAAACGAAGTTCCAAAACCACTATAAGCCGAAATTTATTCAACTTGCCGGGTAATTGTTGGAAAGATGCCGTTGTCGATAACATCGACGAGGAATACGATCGACTCATTAAACATCTTCACGCTGGCGCTATGAAAGCTCAGAGTTCGAAAGCCACCAAGAGACGTCTATCTCCAGAACTCTGCAGCAACTGCAAACTAACGTCCGAACTTGTAAAACAATGCAGACAGATGATAAAAGAATATCTTAAAGAGAGAAGACGAGCAGTAATGGTCGAGGGGGCAAAGGCTGGTAAAAGCATTCGCAAACCCCACAGAACCTTCGCCAATTATAAGACAAAGATGATTGCACTCCGACGCTCACACGGAACAGTTACATAGTCCAGAAAGACAATAGAGAAAATCATTTATGAATACTACTCAGATCTCCTCGATAGCCACATCCACCTTCTGCCATATGAAAACGGGTTCTTCCTTTTGAAATCCGACATGCCATTTCGTCGGTAAAAAATCGAACAGCTCCAGGTCCTGACAGGATAAGATCTGAACCCCTGAAAAACCATCTACCTGTCTTCATATACACACTGGCTCAGCTCATCACACGTTACCTCTCTGAATGCAAGGTCCCTATTCAATGGAAGGCTAGCAAGACCGTGCTAATGTGCAAGAAGGGTGACCTCCACGATATCGGCAACTATCACCCAATTTGCTTACTATTTGTCATCTACAAACATTTTACCCGAGTCACCCTAAACAGGATTGACAGGACACTGGACGAAGGACAGCCATGTGAACAAGCAGGGTTTCGAAAAGGATTTAGAACGATGGACCACTTCCACACAGTAACAGGGCTCACTGAAGTATCGCGAGAGTACAAAAGACTTTCGTCGATTTAAAGAAGGCCTTTGACTCAACTGGGATAAAAGCAGCCATGGAAGCTCTTAATAGTCAAGGAGTCTCTACTCAGTACAAAAGATTCTTCTTGAGCTGCACAAAAATTTCACAACCAAGATACCACCAGTCTACAACGATATTAACATCGACGTCAAAAGAGGAGTTAGGGAAGGTGGTACCACCCCGCCAAAATCATTTATTGCCACACGCGAGAACGTTGTGCGAACATTGGAATGGGATAGTATAGGAGTGAAAATCGATGAATGGTACTTATATCATCTTCGCTCTGCTGCTGACATCGTCCTTATAACACAAAGCATTAGCTAAGCGGAGCGAATGCTTGCCCACTTTGATAAAGCTTGTGGAAAGATAGGTCTTCGACTAAATCTCATAAAAACGATGTTTATGACGAATGGATTGATTTTGCGTGCCCCATTCACGCTCAATGGAACGAGTATCTCCGAACGCTCCATCTATATCCATCTAAGCCGGGAAATCGTTATGATGAACGACTTAGCTCTGGAGTTAAGCAGTTGGAAACGAGCGGCTGGTGAGCTTTCAAGAGTATCGAGGAAGTAGTGAGGAGAACAAAGAACACCCTACTCCGTGCCCATCTTTTCAACTCAATGGTACTTGCTACTCCAACGCATGCGTCAGAAACCTGGTCGCTTCATAAGCATGATGAAGGATCACTTAGCGTTATTGAACGCGCAGTCGAAAGGACGATGCTAGGACTATCCCGTGTCACGCAAGTAAAGGAAGGGATCCGAAGCTCCGACCTGCATCAGCGATCAAAATTCTAAGATGCCATTCTGTACGCCAAACACTCGATGATAAGGTGGACCGGACATGTAATGTGTATGAATTACAACCGATGGGTAAGAGCCGTTAGTGACTGTATTCATTGTCATGTCAAACACACTGCAAGAAAACCCCGACCCGAAAGTCAGATTTCTTCACGAAAACCCTAGAAGAAAGGTATGACACCCAACGAGTTTCTAGACCGAGCGGAATCCACTGGGCTACTCTTGCACGCGGCAGCGAAAAATGGAAGTTTTACTCAAGCTCGCTCGAGTTACTCGATGTTCTACGCGACTACGGGTGGTGCAGGTGTTTATTCCTCGAACGCTTTAGAAGAAGATCAGGTCAGGTATGCTTAACAGAAATTGCACAATCACGGTTTTTACCGTTGGAGTAAAATCTGCGATTTCGTATTGCGCGTAGACTGCAATACAACAGGTTATGAGTTAGCTGGCGTCTTAGGTTGTTCAGTAGTATTTCAACCAGTGCACCGAGATTGCGTGTAGCGTAGTGGTCAGAGGCGTCCCACAATACACATGGGATCAATCTTCGCGCTCTAAGCTCACCAAGGTTGGAAATGTGGTGCCAGGCTCGTCTGGGAGAGATAGCAGCACTGGCTCGATACACCGGTGGGCTACTGCGAATCATTGTAAAGGCCGGATATGCACTCGGTCATCTCCAGCGATGCTTAATGAAGTCGAATGAATGGCTCAACTTTCAAGGGTTGGTCAACGCCAAGGCACTGTCCTTCATTTTACCATTTTTACCTACCAAGTTCTTTGTAATTAAACTTTTGTAGTTGCATTTAATCTGTTTTAAAAGAAGAGCAGAATGCACTGGACCGGGTCCCGCCTCCCCATAAATATTGTTTCGCGACGTGGTTCGCTGTCGGAATAGAATTAGTAGATTTAATACTACTGTGAGATCCATTGTTGTTTAATTATTTTACACCATCATTAGATTAGTTAGTTCGTATCCTTCTTTATGTTTGTCTGTGCAAAACGCCCAATTGCACAATTTGCCGTAACAGGAGAGGCGGTGATTGTATGAGTTCGGGTACGACGTATCTGATTTTTTACACAGCTTTTGAAGATGTGTATATTGGCAAAATAAGTTTGCCACTGTGTGTCCTTATAAATCAGGGACAAGAAGATAGGAGTGACTAGGCTCCACTAGGCTTGCATAGGACACAGAGACATAAATAAATAAAAAAACAGAGCTCTCGGCGTTGATCAATCTCTGAAGGATGCGCCGTGCATTCGACTTCCTTAAGCATCGTTGAAAGTAAGTGAGTGCATATCTGGCCTTTACAATGAATCACGCTGGCTTACCAATGTATCGAGCCAATGCTGTTATCCTCCCAGATAAGTCTGGTACCAATCTGCCAACCCCGGAGGGACGGAAAGTTTGGTGGGCCATGGGCTTGGGAATCAATTCCACGTGTGTGTTGCATGGTTCCGACTACTGCGCTACATGCGCCCTTCACAGAGATATAACGGGCAGCAATAAGAAGCAGAAGTTACCATCCCAGGATTCGAAAACTTTGGCGCGCAAAACTCTCGAAGCATCTTGTATAAACTCTAAGATTCCAAAAATAGTCGTAGGGAGAAGCGTTTTCAGATCACGCGTGATCTCTCAGACAGTATTTAAGAACGATATTTTAATGTGAGGCATATTACCTCATCCATGTAAACTCTATGCAGCTGTACTCTACGTGAAGTGCTTATTGAAAGAATCATAGAAAGCAGTTGCTATGCGAAGAAGCTGTTTTGTTTTCAACGAGTTTAAAAATCTAGGTTTTGCGATCTTTCTGCTGGGGTTGTGAGGGTGTTTTCTGACTAGCTTGCAGTCAGTTTGACCTTACCTCGCTTTGAAGAAGGCGAAGTGCTCTGATATGCCAGCTTTTGTGGACCAAGAAATAATTGGTATGGTAACAACCTAGTGTATGCTTTTTGGGAAAATATAATTCACTGTCTTCCTTGATGAACAATCACACGGTTGTTATTAAAGCATTTATTAATACGCAATAATTGACCTTTCTACAGTTTCGCTTTCTTTGGAGTCAGGAAAGGTCAAATTGAAAAGCAATCCGCTCAGTCAAACACCACCATAACCTAAGCAGACAAAATATTACATAAATGATCGATTTTACTTGTTTGAGCAACGTACATTTCTCACTCGTGTAAGACACCGTGCCGCTGATCTCCAATAATACTTGCAAGACTTAGAAACAACAAAACAGTAAATTGTTATACAGCTTTCGTTGTTTGTCTTTGCAATGTAGCGTCTTCTTCGTTGTACTGAGTCGGACCTTGTTCACTGGAGCACCCTCCGAATGAAGCTACACCATCCGGCAGCGCCTTTTTATATAGTTTGCCTGTAAAATATTGCCAATTCATAAAGTTGAAATTCCCACGTCTGACTTTCTATTAACTTTGGCATTGATTGAATAATTCTTTCTACTTTTATTCAGCAAACACAAGGTGTTATTTTATTTCTTTATTTATGTACAAGCTGACGTTTCGGCGGATTTCGCCTTCCTCCGAGCCTGAAAAGGTTAAGTTGATTGCAATCTACACGGCCAAACACCTCCATAAGCAAAGAGAAAAATGCTGAACCAAAATTTCAATCACATTGAACACAGAGTCTTTGCACACTCACCGCATTCTATCAGTCTTCCACTAAATATGTCACGTGAAGACCAACCGCACAGAGTGCACACGGAATCGTATTGTGCCCATTTCACTAGAAAGATAAAGTAGATAGATAGTGATAAAGTTGAGCTAGTGCAATATTATTACACCTTTGCGTAAGTTGTTCTACTACCGACTGCAGCAGGATTGATTGCCGACCTTAAAAAAGATTATTATCTGTTGACAATGAGTCACCAACCGTTCCGTATAAAACGGCGTTG